TTTACTTGTACATGATTTACTGACAACCGTCTTTTACACTATCCTGCTCAATATTCTACATTACTGCACGTAACTCATTTTGCTGAAGGCCATCCCTTATTCTTAATCTCTCACACAACAGAGGCAGAGATCTTTAGATTCTTTATTATCAATAAGTCCATGCCCTTCTCTTCATTTAACAATCACTGTCTAAGTTCACGCTCTCACTTTCCACAGCTGGTCACATCTTTAAGCATCCCATGAGAACAAAGATTATCTTTTCATATATTTTTGTATAGTTCTTTACCACAGACTACACACAAATATTTCTAGACTAAATGATACAAAAAGTTTGATTTATATTTGAGTTTTCCTAGTGGTAGTGGTAGTTTTACAACTGGTTTGTTGGATGGTTGGATGGATGGACGGACGGACGGTTTATAATGCAAACTGAATCTAGAATGATAAAACAGATTACCACAAACTCTACCATGGAACTATAAACCCAGGCCTAAACTCTTAAAACTCTAATTTCTTTTAAAATCCAAATTGGTTGATTTGTACTATTTAGATTAAATCATAAATAAAAAAACTTAGAACCTAATAAAAATGATTCTCTCCTCCATTAACCACAAATAATAGAGCACTGATAATTTTTTAAAGATTTGTTTATTTTTAATTTTAAGTATATGAGTGTTTTGCCTGCATACATACCTGTAAGCCATGTACATGACTAGAGCTCAAAGAGAACTGGGGGAGGGGGACCTGACAACCTGATCGGGGGGGGGGGGGGAACAACCTAATCTGGGTCCTTAAGAGTAGTAGCAAGTATTCTTACCTGCTGAGACAGCAGCCAGCAGCATAAATTTTTAAGATGCAAAACCCTACCATGTAATAAATCTTACTAACATGAAAACATGGCCAAGTTAATGATAAAGAAACTTGATTCCAGAAGTCTGAATTGAACTGCTCTGTTATAAATGGCTAGCTTTGTTAAAACAAATTATACTTCCCCAACAAAATAACCAAATTTAGTTCCAAGGCTACTTGATATCCCTATAAGAGTTCTTTGTCTTTTTTTCAAAGACAGCTTTCTGCTGACAATGAAATCAAAAGAAGGTATAAATGGCTTCTTCAATCACTTAAAAACAAATTTAGGACAACTGCTACAAGCTGAATGTCTCTAACTTTCAAAAGGCTCCAAAATACAAAACTGTTTTACAGACATAATGGCACCAACAGTGGAAAATTCCACACCTGATCTATTTGACTGATGCAGTTCCATTAAAAAAAATTATGTAAAATTATGCTCAGAATATGTGTGTTTAAGATACAGGTAAAAAAAAAATGAATTTAATAGTAAGGTATGGGACCCACATCTGTTTCTACACATGCAAATATTTGTAATATAAAAAAATTAGATTCAAGCATTTGAAATAATTAACAGTCAAATGAATCAACAGGCTAAGAAAGATGAGTAGCTGAGCTCAAGTGAGACAAACTTTCCTTCACAGCCCATCGCATGTACCCATCTGGTACTGGAGAGCTTAGGGCAGAGATAGCCCAATGAAACTGTTGGTCTCAGTGCCAAAAGATGCAGTAACCTTCTTTCTTTAATGTCTGTCACCAAAAGCCAACGGACCTGAGAACAGGGTTCTTTAATTATTTCAGTGAGCATTTTAAGAAAGAAATGTAAGAACTGGATACCTGTGATTTTTGTATTTAACTGATAAGTATGCCTTAACAAAACTTTGACACAGCAGATCATAATAAATTTGTAAGATAAACCAAACATTCCATCTCAACTGAGGCTGACAACCAAGTGCTTACCAGTAAGTGTTCTCCAAAAGTAACTCTGAACTAGTGTTTGGAATACTAAGTATTTTTAAATATAAAGTACCTGCCATTTCAAAGACTATAGAAAGGCTTATGACATTAGAAATTGTTAAACTTTAAAAAATAAAACAAAAAAAAATTCAAACTAAAAAACTAAATCATAAAATTAACCTTCTCTGACTTAAGTTTTAAGTCAATAATAGTTCCTGTCCCTGTACCTAAAACACAAACATGTTTACATTACCAAATTATAATAAATTAAAGCCACAGATTACTAGGTAATCTGAAATATTTCGTAACTTTAGGTAAAAGAAAGAAGCAAGTAATAACATCATTTTATTTTTATTCTGTATGTGCTATATGTAGGTAAATGCATATGTGTACAACCGTCTATGCACTCAGGTCAGGGTTGAGAGGTTATCTCTCTCAGTCAGTCTCCACCTTACTTTTGTGAGACAGGGCCATCTCTCAGTGAACCTAAAACTTGTGTTCTCAATTACACTGGCTGATCAACAAGTTCCTGGGACCCTCCTGTGCAGCCAGCCGTGTGCCACAGTGCTGGGTCATGGGCACACATCATCTGGCTTTTATGTGACGATGGTGGTCCAAAGTCAATCCTCATGTTTGTGAGGAAGCACTTTACCCTATGAGCCTTGGTCCTAAAGACAGAACACACACATTTTGTCCTGTGTGTCCCATTAGTTCATGCAAGGTCAATGAACACTTCATGAACGACCTAAGGGAAGGTTAAAGACTACAGTTAGGGACTGCAGTGCCTTTACTGTATAAACAAAGTTTTCTGCTCTTAGAGAAACACCATGGTTTCATTAAGCAAACAAAGACAATTATTTTCCTAGTATGTGAGACTCGATTCTGTCTTTATATTTTATAGTCTCAGAATGTTTAAGAAACTGCTTCCTACTTTGAGTTTCATTTCAAAGAAAACAAAAAAGTGGGGTGCCTAGAGAGATGACAGACCAATAATTAAAGCACTGGCTGCCCTTCCAGAGAACCCAGGGTTAATTCCCACAACCCATCAGTTAAAACTCTACTCCCAAAGGATCTAATGGCCTCTTTTGACCTCCAGAGGCACTGAATGCATGGGGTACACACACATGCATACAATCAAAACACACTTACACATAAAAATTTATTTTTAATGAAGATTTTAACCGATGAATGAATTATGGTTTGAAACTGCACAAGAGTTACAGCAATTTATCAAATGGCACTAAATTCTGCTACCATTCTGTACTATTTATATGAAGTAGCATTCTCTCTACATTGGTAATTATAAAATTAAACTAGCACTGAAAAACATGAAAGATGTTCTACATCCTGCAAAATAAAATATTAGACAAGATGTAATTCTTATTGTAAATATATGTATGTATGCATTCGTCTACATATACACATCCCTAGGAGGCCAGAGACCAACTTTGGTTGTCTCCAGCATCTAACAACAAGGCTCCCCAGAGACAAAATCCATAAAAAATTCTGCCACTGAAGTTTTTCCCCAAATGTCCTGGGTTCTCACCTCACACATCTGCCTGCAATGCCTTACAATTATCCAACAAAACCTTCTTTTGGCAAGATTATCCTCAACTGTTTGTGTATTTGCAACTAAACCTACTTACAAAAGCAGAGTAAATGTATAAACTAAAAGGTGTACAGCCAGGCTTTGGTGGCCCACCCCTTTAATCCCAGCACTTGGGAGGCAGAGGCAGGCGGATCTCTGTGAGTTCAAGGCCTGCCTGATCTACAGAGCTAGTTCCAGGTCAGGTTCCAAAACAATTAGAGAAACCCTGTCTCAAAAAACAAAAACAAAAAATAAAGGTGCACTAAAAAATACAAGTTGCGAAATACCCAAACTCATTAATCCAATATAAGACAATTATACTCCATCTATAAACTAATATTGTCTGAGTAACAACTAATGGGTCTAAAACCTTATTTTAACATTAGAAAACAAATAGAAAACATTTGTTTTCCAGTAAGTAGTCTCATACCTAACAGCCACCTTTTTCCTTTATATACTCAGTAAGTAATGGATGGCTGCTATGGGTCATTATTACACAGTGACTAGTAAAATTATGGCAGTGAATGAAGACAAGGTTCTTGCTTTATATACAATGTATTCTGCAAGGGCAATGTTTCTCAACTTTTCTAATATTGCAACCTTTTAATATAATTCTTCAAGTTATGGTGACCCTCCCAACCATAAAATTATTTTCATGACTATTTCACAACTGTAATTCTGCTATGTTATGAATCATAAATACCTGACAGGCAGGATATCTGATGTGATCCCGTGAAAGGGTCATATGACAGCCCTCCACCACTGCTGTGCTAGGAGTAAGAAAACTAAAACACTGGATAAGAGTATTATCGAGGTGGAGCATGGGAGGCTAGGGTTAAGGGAGGGGTGGAAATGGACAGAACCGGGTGGCTTTTACAATAACTGGTCAGGGAAAGCCTCACTACAGCAATATTTAAACTCAGCCACACTTAAGGAAAAGCAGCAGCCAGTCACAGTGAACAGTATATAAATTTTCAAAGTCAAAGGAAGGTCAACATGATTACCCTGGGCTAGAGACAAGTTGGGGGGGGGGGGGAATCACATAAGATGAGGGCAGAGAGAAATAGAATCAACCGTATCACATAGGGTTCTATGATGACAAAGAGCCTGGAGGTACTTCAAAGTCAGCTGGTATAGGAGACTGTTTCTAAAACAATACTAGAGACAGGTTGAACAACTGACTAAGAGAGACTGGGAAGAAAGGAGGAATCCAATTGGAAAGAGTCGAGAGTTGGAAGCAAACATTAAGCACAGTACTCTCGTGTTACAGAAAGAATGACATGGTCCACGCTATGGACTTTATGTGGTCAGATTGAAGACGACCTCATCAGAATTGCACTTCATCTCAACACTCAGGACAAAAGTCTTCCCAGAATTCTTGACCTCAGCTGAAATCCCATGCCTTCACCATGAATAGTTCCCAAAGTCACATAGCAAAAACCCAATGGAAATATACTTTAAAGAGAAAAAAACTTAATTAGCCACATAAAATTATTCCCATTTCCAACTTCATACATAACTTTTAAAAGCAGCTGATAATATAAAAGTCACCTCATTGCATATTGTATAAAGCAGAAAAAATGAGCAAAACAACAAATATACTTACATCTGGGTATTCTTTTACAGGCACATAAAGTTTCTCTTGTAACTGAACAATAGGTCCCACAGCATCAGGCAACTCTGCGCTCCTTTTCTCCGCGCTGCCATTCAATGTGTCATTGTACATGTCTTTCCGCACTCTGCTAATTTCTGTTAAAAGTAAAAATTTTTAAAGTGTTAGACAAAAACATTCTCACTGATCCAGGAAAGGGCAGGGGGATTTGCTTCACTGATAAAATGTTAATTCTCCAGTGAACAACTGTTAATTTGCCCTGTTGTTCTATGGATTGAGCCTATTTACAAGATGACAGTCAGCCTTCATCTCTAACATAGATCAATCTACACCAACCAAAGTACACCTCTTAGTGACACTAACTTCACAGCAGAGACTTGTAGCCATCACCATACAGATTTTAGTTTACATAAAATGTTCATGCTTAATAATGAGGCCTCATTTTAAATGGTAGCTTTAGTTACCTAACTGTCATAAGAACACATAGGACAAAATACCAAAAGCTTTTATTCCTCATAAATAATCTGCCTCAGTAAGATTTAAACTGAACACCACTTTAAAACACTCAAGATGCTCAACAGACAACACATACCACGTGTAGCCAAAGTCTGAGTGAGGTGTACAAACTAAGCAATAAAAACAATATGGAAGGTGTCACAATACCTGACTGCAAAAGCATGCTTCAAAATTACAGTAACTAAGCCAGCATGGCAGCTAAGGCTCTGAAAAGGAAGAGACTAGTAGAACTAAATGAACCCTAAATAAAGCAACATTCCCGGTCAGAGGAAAACAGTACATAAACAATATAAAAGGAGGAACAAACCACTAGGGAAAACAAGTACCCAGTAAGCCAAGGTGAACAGATGCTACAAAAAACTGCTAAGTCAAAGAGGACTACCCTTGGACTAGACCATAAGGTAGGAGTTTCCTCAAAAGACAATAACAGAAAACAAACCACAGTAGGTTAACAGATATAAATTTTAAAACGCAAAGATAAACCAAATTTAATGACCGTTACCAAAAAAAAAAAAAAAAAAACACCTCTGTATTATAATTCTCAGGTATAAATACTACTTCTTAAAATTATGAAAGTTTTATTTTAATGAATCAAATCCTACAAAGAAAAATGAAATCTTCATAAAATATGTAATAGGCTTCAACTACATATCAGCAGATAGGCCTGTACACTGAAACATATTCTCATTACAGTTTGGTATTCCAGAGTATGAACTAATTCATCGCTGAATCTAAGCAGGTGAACATACCTTTCTAGCCAGAAAACAGCTCCAGTCAGAACAAGCTGACTCTAGTTCTAACAGTAACTCTTCGTAATTTGGGACATCTCTGATTTAATCTCTCTGTACTGGAGCCTCACATACTTACAACTCACTGAATTGCTCAACTGAATCCAGGTCTTTAGAACTCCATTCAGTATTTTTTCCCCAAACCTCATGCTCAAAACTTTTCGTGCCCTAAATCCCAGCAATCACACAGTCTGCTAACGCTATCCTAAAGAGTCGGCGTGATCACATCTAGATGATCATAGCAATGTGCAATGGGAGTTCTCATGGTGGACTCACAGACATGTATGTGTTTCTTTATAAAGCAATAGAATGACTCATAACAACTGTATTGCACACATTCTCTTCTGTTAATTAAATAATGCTGAAATGTTCCACATACATCCACATGACATTTAAGATACAGCTATGGTTCAGAGGAATCAAAGTTCTAAACCATTAGTATTTAAGATTTTTCTACTATAACAACTCAAAATGGTCATTTTTATCTTCCTATGATTAAGAAAGTTTGTTTAAAAACAAACAAACAACAACAAAAACCCTCTGGAGTTCTAAGCATTAAATTTTGTCTTTCTGAAACATCACTCCTGAAACATCAGCCACTCACTGCCACTTAGCAGCCTCATAAATACTCAGCAAAGTTCTATGACACCTAAGCACCCTGTAAACTACCAAACTCGTTCATGCCCTTGTGCTTATTTAGAAACACTCCAATTTAACAACGTTTCTTTAAAAGTATACAACCACAGATAGCATTCTGTACAGGACAGGATGAAGACTAAAGGTGACCCCTGCAGTGAAGGTCACAATGCCTTAGCAAACAACACATAGTGGACATGTTGCTGGTGGAGCTTTGAACCTCTACCATTCCCTCTCTCCACAACTGTTCGTTTGGACATCAACAATTTAATTTTCTCTTGTTTATTTTCTACTACATATACACCCCTTCAGACTGATGTTAATCTGTTGACATTCTTTATCACTGACTAGTTTGTGAGTCAAAATGACTGCGATTTTCATAAAGCACACATTTTTCAGAGCTTGGACATCAAAATACTGGCATGCCTTACTAACTACCTGATAAAATTTCAATGCCAGATACATGGATGTTCTCTGGTTTGGTGTGGGGAGTGTGTGCATTGTGTACACTGTCTCATTCACTAACACAGCCCAGGCCGACATCCAACTCACAATCCCCTATAGACACAAATCCACCTTCCTCTAGATCCACCAGATTACAAGGAATCTACAACTTGTGTCATTACAGTAAAAAAGAAACACTTAACAGCAGTTAGGGTTTCTCCTATTTTCCACATTTTCTCAAATCAACAGTGACTGCACTTTTGTCCCCTTCAAATTTCCTATGCACAAAGCTATTGTGTTTATGACTAAAAACTTAACCAATTAGGCCATCTTCCAATTCTTTGCTCTGATTATCTTGACTTTCCTTCCCTCTTTTCTAACTAAACTCAACTGTTAGTTAATTCTGTTCCTAACAGAAAATTACCAGGAAAGCTGCATTTTACAGACATATTTTGCCTGAGTAACTATCTGCTTTTTCTTTGTACACCACATTTATATCCATCAAGGCATACTTTAGCGCACTATTCCTAGATATATAGGAACATAGAAAGCATGATGAGGTTTCACTTTACTTGATCATGGCCACCTCAGCTTTTAAATAACTTTCCCGATTTGAGTAAAATAAGAGCCAATATTTAAATGTTAACAAAAGTTTTCAGCTTTCAAGACAAGTTTAAAGAGGCTCTTACTTGCTGTTTGCAATTCACCTTCTGATGAATATTACAGTAATATACCAACACAAACATCAAAGTAAGGGTTTAATATCTAAGAGTATAGAAATGAGTTTTCTTTAACATGATGCTTACTAAATCTTAGACCTAATCTTAAATTAGAAATCTATATCTGAAAAACAACTATCTGAATAAAGAGGTATCTGTTATGTGACTGTATGTACTTAGGATTAACAGAGTTCTTTCCCATGCCCTCCTCAAAAAAAAAAAAAAAAAAAAAAAAAAAACTCAGAATTTACTAAATACAAAGAAGTTTAAAGTTATTTAAGGAGAAAAGACCAACAGACTGTATTATACTGCACTGTCCTTACTTTAAGAAGCCACATCCAAGTAAACAAATTTAAAAACAAGTTATTATACAATATGCCACCACTACTTAGTGGGATGTTTTTCTTCTCTAAATAAATTAAATCTGGTTTAATTTAGAGGCATTTGCTTTCAAACCATGTACAAGTATCAGCACCTTGTTTTTACTACAGTCACAGCCGCACAAAAATCAGAGAGCAGGGCCAATGGAAGACATAAAACCACAAAATCGACACTGCTAGAACCAACTATTTTAGTAAGTACAGCAAAGGTATAGGTTAGAGAAAGAGCACTATGAAAAACAGTGTGGGAAAACTGGATATCCGCATGTAGAATAATGAAATTAGATCCCTATCTTTAATCCTGTACAGAACTCAATTCAAAATGGATCAAAGACCATAATGCAAGACAGGAAACTCTCAAATGCTACAGGGAAAACACATCAAGGTACAGGAATAGACAAGAACATTCTAAAAAGGACTCCAATAGCCCAGGAAATAACAAAAATTAACAAATAGGCTTGTATAAGGTAAAAAAAAAAAAAAAAGCTTCTTAAAACAACAGGAAAAATTAACAACAACAGCCTACAGAATTACAGAGGAGTTTTGTCAACTATATACATCTGACAGAGGACTAATAACAAAGAACAAATCATTCAAAGAACAAATCATTCAAAGAATGAGCAAATGCAATGAGGAGATAGTTCTCAAGAATAGAAATGGCCAATAAATCTATGAGAAACTGTGCAATACCCTTTACCATGAGGGGAACTCAAAACTACACTGAGGCTCGTCTCCTTTCAGTCAGAACGGCTGCCGTCATCAAGAAGTCGAGTGCTGGCAAGGACACCGAGGGGAGAAACGTCATATGGTGAAGCTATCCCACTCCGGGACAATAAGCCCTCCTCAAAAAAAGAAAGCTCCAGGCCAGGAGTGGGAGGCAGATGGCTCAGTAGTCAACAGCACTTTCGACTCTTCCAGAAGACCGAAGCCCAACTCTCTGAGCACCCATTTCAGGTAGGCCACAGTTATCTATCCGTAAGCCCAGCACCAGGGCACTGGATGTCTCTGGGTTCTGCACACACCTGTACTCACATGCATGAATGAATCTACACGTAGATGCACACGCCTACCACAGAGTCAGATCTGCACACCCGTTTTTATCATGGCACTGAGGACAACTGTCAAGACATGAAATTAGTTCAGATGTCCATCAACAGATGAATGTATAAAGAAAATGTTACACACACACACACACACACACACACACACACACACAGAGAGAGAGAGAGAGAGAGAGAGAGAGAGAGTTTTACTTAGCTATAAAAAAAAATTCAAGACACCTTTAATCCCAGCACTGGGGAGGCAGAGGCAGGTGGATCTCTGAGTTTGAGGCCAGCCTGATCTACAGAATGAGTTCCAGGACAGGCTCCAAAGCAACACGTTTTCTCATGAAGGATTTAAACATACCCGTGTGTGCGTGCGTGCATGCGATGTAAATTGTTGCAGGGGACTACTAGTGGGGAGATGGGGGTCCATCGAGGAGAAAGAAAGAACGAGAGCAGCCAGAGAAGAGTTGAGTAGGTAACACACAGACTTTAAGACGAATATTGAAAACAGCTAATCCAGGGCTGCAGAGATGACTCAGCAGTTAAGAGCATTAGCCGCTCTTCCACAGAGGACCTGAGTTTAATTCCTAGCACCCATATGGCAGATC